GAACGGCAAGATTTCAAATTTTCTTGTAGCTGAGTGGTATTCTACTATGTGCATAGACCACATCATCTTTATCTAGTCTTCCGTTGTGGGCTCTTAGGCCAGTTCTAACTCTTTGCTATTGTAAATAATGCTGCAATAAACATGGGGGTACATAGATCTCTAGATTAGTGATTTTGTATTCTTCAAATAAATATCCAGAAGTGGATGACTAGATTGTAATTTTTATTTTTAAATTTTTGAGGAATCTCCATACTACTTTTTGTACTGGCTGTGCCATTTTATATTCCCACCAACAGTATTCCTTTCTAACCAACAGTATTCCTTTTGGATGTAAAACTTAGAGGTGTTTTTCTCATCATGAGAAAACTACCAAAGATGTCTAGATTTTATCTTTAAATGCAGTTAGACCACCATTCAATTGTGTCCTTTGTTTGTATTCTTTTAGGTTGTAAAAATGACATTTATTGAATTGTGCTTTGACATATGAAATAACCCTAAGACATATGAAATAGCTCTGAGAGCCAAAATCTTTTGACCAAAAGTATGTGGTAACTTCTTGTGTTACTGAGCGTTAATATATATGATGTTTCTTTAGCTAGCATAATTGAATATGTTCATTATAATGGTTTTTTATATAAAATGTAAATTTAGTTACATTTGTAAGAAGCTTACCTATCAAAAGTGATAATTATAGGAAATGAAAGATATACAACTTACTGCATATAATATTTTGTTTGTTCAGTCCCCCCATTTTTCAGAGAAATGGCACCATCCCTCCTACCCCAGCTAAGTCACTTAGTTATTGTATAAATGGCTTCCAAACCATGTGACCTTGGGCACAGCTGACTGATTTAAGACCAATACCCAACTGAAGGTGGGCCAATCCAAGTCTTTCCCTAGAAATTCTGGAGTTGAACTTGTTTCTTTCTTTCTAATAAAGTTTTGGATGTAAAACTTAGAGGTGTTTTTCTCATCATGAGGTTCGCAAAAGTGGAAGAGCCTGATCTATGGAGGGAGATAAGAATGGAAAATATTTCAGAGATGCTTTCACCTGGGTCTCTCCCAATAACGTTGTTGCCTCTCAGCGTCATTAGTAACCTTGTCATAGATCACCTTAGTAATCTTAATGTAAATTTATTTTCAGATAGTTGGCTCAAGTTGAGTTTTGTCTGTGAACTATTCCTTCTCAGCAATAGTTCTCAAAAATTGTTCCTAAGATATTAACATTAGTTAATTTCTTCTTAGAAAGGGGAAGAGGTTCCATGCCCAAACTATCTAGAGAGGTGCTTAATCTTTATCCTCCATTGAGATTGACAGTGCACATAACATTGTACTGCCAGTTTCAGAGAACTTCTAAAAGATTTTTGATTTGCTTTGTTTTGTTTCTTTAGCCCAATATTTACCAAATTTATTTTCTCAAAGTTATTTGCTTCCCTCTAGAATCTACTAACTAGTATTTCATGGAGAATACATTTGGGGTAAAGCTACCAAAGATATCTAGATTTTATCTTTAAATGCAGTTTGACTACCATTCAATTGTGTCCTTTGTATTATTTCATGTTGTAGAAAATGACATTTATTGAATTGCGCTTTGACATATGAAATAGCCCTAAAAATGTGTCCTTGACACTGCTAAAGAAATCTTCGGAGGTTGTTGCTCCTTATTACATAGTTTTCTTTTTATGAGGACTGTCTCTAGAATTTTCTCTTAATCCTCAGCAGTTGTATATATTTTCTCCAAGCAACTGGTTAGATTTTTATCTTACAGTCACTGTGAATAGAGTGTGTATAATTTAAAGTGTTCCTATTCCTGTTGTCTTTTAGCAAATACAGTAGCAAATGTGAGGGCAAGTCTATAGGACTCAAGATATTTTCTTATGTACACCTTTCATTTTAGCAGCATCTTATTTTTTTTATATTTCTCTTTACTTCAATTTTCTTCCTCATTTTATGAATTGCATATGCAATGTATCTATAAAAAACATGTAACATAAAAGTTACCATTTTTAAGTGTATAGTACAACAGAATTATATTTCCCTTGTACTACAAACCTCTAGTACACTTTTATCTTACAAAATTCGAACTCTCTACCGACCGAGCATCAGTTCCCCTTAATCTTGTATATACTTTTGCTTATAAAGCAACTCAATCCTATTTGGAATGAAGCTTTAATAGCAGCTTAGAGGCAGGTTTGGAAACTCATTCAATAGCAAGGGAAACAAAAGGAAAAATAAACAAAAGGTGCCACATCAGAAACTGGCATCAAAATGAAAAGACATCCTACTAAACGGGAGAAGATATCTCATATCTTATGTATGATGAAGGTTTAATATATAATTCATACAAAGAACTCACAAAACTCAACATGAAAAAAAAGTCAACCCAATTAAAAAATAGGCAGATGATCTGAATAGAGGTTTGTCTAAAAATGACATTCACACTAGGTACATGAAAAGATGTTTACTGTTCCATATTATTAGGCAAATGTAAATCTTTACATTTCTGAGAATGACTTATATAAAAGGCAAGAAACAGTGTTAGAGAGGGTATATAGAGAAAAGAATTCTTATGTACTACTAGTGTGAACCTAAATTGGTAGAACCATTATGGATAATAATATGGATATTTCTCAAAAAATTAAAATGGAAATTCCTAATAATCCCACTTCTGGTGATTTTTGCAAAATATGTGAAAAGACTAATTTGAAGAGATGTATGCATGTCCGTGTTTATTTGCAGTGTTATTTGAAGTGGCCAGGTGCTGAAACCACCGAAGTGCTCACTGACAGCTCAGTGAATATGTAAGATGTATCTATACACAATGGAATACTAACCATTTATATAAAAAAGAGACAATGATGTGAATGATAGCATCAGACATTTAGTGGTGAATTTAATATAGAAAATACCTACTTGACACATAATACATTGTTACTGTAATTAAAAAAAGTCTTTTGTCTTTTAATATATATCTAAAAGCACTGCTAAGTTTAGGAAATGTTAATTTACCTCTCTTTTTTTTGTGTAGGTTTCGTCAGGTTTTTAGAAGGCTATTATATTGTGTTAATAACTAAAAGAAGAAAGATGGCAGATATTGGTGGTCACACAATATATAAGATTGAAGATACAAATATGATCTATATACCCAATGATTCTGTACGGATTACTCATCCTGATGAAGCCAGGTGTGTGCTGGTCGTAACTCCTTTTTTTTTTTTTTTTTACTGTGGAACACTAATTAGATAACAAAGTATAGTCAAAAAGTAAGTATAGTCAAAGTAAAGTCAAAAAGATGATCAATGTTATGTTAGAAATGTAAAATACTGGCTCTGAATTCTATAACTTTTGTTCTAAGGCTGTTAAGAAACTCAGTCATAACAATTGACTCAGGCATGTATCAATAATGATTGTGAAAACCAGTAGAGAAAAGTTATTAGTGGAGAACAGATTCATAAAACTATATAAACTTTGGGTGTACATCTACACTTCTATGTATATAAACCTCACCTTGCCACCACCAACATTCCAGAGGCCTTCCCACTGTCAAATAGATGTTCCATACTTTTCCTTCCCATCTCTCTACCCTTCCTTTTGATAACAACTATATTTTTCACAGAATTTATTTTGTTTGCTTTGGTTATTTATAGTCCACTTATGAGAGGAACCAGCTGCTAATTATCTTTCAATTTATGACTTATTTCACTTAGCATAATCACCTCAAGTTCCATTCAGATTGTCACAAAAGACATCTTTTTTTAGGAGCTGAGTAATATTCCACTAAGTACATATACCGTAACTTTTTATGCCGTCAGTGGATATTTAAGGTTGTTTTCATGTCTTTGGTATTGTATATAATGCTGTTATGAACATAGGGGTACATAAATCTTTTTGAATTAGTGTTTTTATATTCTTTGGCTCAATACTTAGGAGAGGAATTGTTGTGTGGTGTTTTAAATTTTTGACTTTTAAGCTATCTCCATGTGGTTTTTCATAGGGGCTGCACCAACTTACATTCCCACCAACAATGAACAAGATTTCCTTTTTCCTTACATCCTTGCCAATACGTGCTGTTTCTTTTTGATACAGGCCATTCTCACAAATGTGAAGTGAGACCTCCTTATGATTTTGATTTGAATTTCCCTAGTAATAAGTGAAGCTGAGCATTTTTTTATGTGCCCATTAGCCATCTGTATGTTTATCTTCTTTGGAGAAGTGTCTGTTCAGATTCTCTGCTCATTTTTTGATTGGGTTGTTTGTTTTTTGTTGATTTGTGTGAGTTATGTAATTTGGATATTAAACCCTTGCTGGTTGTATAATGTGCAATTATCTTCTCCCAGTCAATAGATTTTCATTTTTGTTTTTGTGATGGTTTCTTGCATATATTATATAAAATGTTTTTAGTTTGATATAGTCAGTCCCATTTATTTACTTTTGTTTTTATTTTCTTTGCCCATTGGAGTTGAGTCTAAAGATTTGTCTGAGCTTCGCATACAGGAGTATATTACCTGTGTTTTCTTCTAGATACAGGCATATTTTTTGGTTTAAAAACTTTTCAGCTGAAAAAGATGGTTATCCATAAAAATACCTGCTTATTTTTATTATTCTCCCTCCAACTTCAAAATATGTTTGAAGTATATTATAAAAATAAGGATATGGGCCCTCCCTGGTGGCACAGAGGGTTAAAGCACAGCACTAAGAAGCTGAAACCACTTCCGTATGAGTTCGATTCCCGCCTGCCCTGGAGGTGACCACATGGTGTGGCAGACCTCTCCTGACCCGCCCACTGCTCCCCTCAGCAGTGTACTTCGTCAGTCTGCCTGTTCTACTCCCCACTCTGTCTCTGGTGAAGTCTTTCGCCACCCCTGAGTCTCTGGCCTGTACCCCAGTTCTGTATGCACAAATAAATAAATCTTTAAAAAAAAATAAGGATAGTATTTACTTCTATCTTGTCCCAAATTTAAGTACCTCATACATGTGAATGCATGACTTTATCTTTTTGGCATAATCAGTGATGAGAAAATAGTTAGGTTTTTATCTCTGGAGGGATGATCGGCCCTCTTAGAAATTACTTCAGATGAAATCCCTACTCTAGTTACAGATTGAATTCTTTACTTTTATGAGTGTATGTGCATATATAAATGTATATATAAGTATGTTACACTGTACATTTTTTTAATGTTGTATAATGCAAAATGTTTTGTTTTTTTAAAGGTATCTACGGATATTTCAAAATGTGGACCTATCCAGTAATTTTTATTTTAGGTAAGTTTGAGCTTTGTTTTCCCATATTAATCTTTTAAATAATTATGTTATTTTCCAGGGTGGAAAAACAGAATCAGGGAACATAGCATTATTTCATCTACTCCTTTTTTTAATAGCCCAAATTTTATCTACATTTTAAAAATGTAGGTATTTCCTCTTTTTTTAAATCTGAAATTTGATAATTTGCATTGGTAAATTAAAGGGCAGTAGGTCTCAACTATAAGAATCATGTGCATTTTAGATAAGAATTTAAAGAAATATTCTTATTTTATGATTTCAAATTACAAAAATGAAATTGCCATATGGTCTCCAATGCAGAGTCTTAACAATTTTGTGGTTCAATTTTTAGTTAAAAGCCTTGCAAAAAGTTAAGTATTAGTTTTCTTGGAGAGGAGTGTATAGTGTTAAATATACTTGAAAATAATATGCTAAGAAAATAAATCAGTAGAGGAAATATGAATCCATATTGATAATGAGACACTTACAGGCTTATGGCAGCTTGTATAAACAAAGCAATAAACCAATATCAATAATTGAATAAAAGGCAAGTAAATTAGAGCATTCCAAGTAAAATATTTTATACCATCAGTGATATCATCAACATGTAAACCTAGAAGACATAGAGTTATTGTTCAAATGAAAAATTCTATCAGTTACAGTGTCCAAACTACAAAATAGAACACAAAATAGCATAGACCAGTAAGAATTTAACTAATAAGGGCCAAAGGAGGATGTAAAGTATCTATAGCTATTGGTGTTATATATTGATGTGTTACATTATTTCAAATTTTTCTAGTTTCATTTAGAAATAATTGACCTATATCACTGTGTAAGTTTAAGGCAAATAGCATGGTGGTTTGATTTACATATATTGTGAAATTATTGCCATAGCACGTTCTGCTAACATCAACCTTCTTATATATATTCTTTGGCTCAATACTTAGGAGAGGAATTGTTGTGTGGTGTTTTAAATTTTTGACTTTTAAGCTATCTCCATGTGATTTTTCATAGGGGCTGCACCAACTTACATTCCCACCAACAATGAACAAGATTTCCTTTTTCCTTACATCCTTGCCAATACGTGCTGTTTCTTTTTGATACAGGCCATTCTCACAAATGTGAAGTGAGACCTCCTTATGATTTTGATTTGAATTTCCCTAGTAATAAGTGAAGCTGAGCATTTTTTTATGTGCCCATTAGCCATCTGTATGTTTATCTTCTTTGGAGAAGTGTCTGTTCAGATTCTCTGCTCATTTTTTGATTGGGTTGTTTGTTTTTTGTTGATTTGTGTGAGTTATGTAATTTGGATATTAAACCCTTGCTGGTTGTATAATGTGCAATTATCTTCTCCCAGTCAATAGATTTTCATTTTTGTTTTTGTGATGGTTTCTTGCATATATTATATAAAATGTTTTTAGTTTGATATAGTCAGTCCCATTTATTTACTTTTGTTTTTATTTTCTTTGCCCATTGGAGTTGAGTCTAAAGATTTGTCTGAGCTTCGCATACAGGAGTATATTACCTGTGTTTTCTTCTAGATACAGGCATATTTTTTGGTTTAAAAACTTTTCAGCTGAAAAAGATGGTTATCCATAAAAATACCTGCTTATTTTTATTATTCTCCCTCCAACTTCAAAATATGTTTGAAGTATATTATAAAAATAAGGATATGGGCCCTCCCTGGTGGCACAGAGGGTTAAAGCACAGCACTAAGAAGCTGAAACCACTTCCGTATGAGTTCGATTCCCGCCTGCCCTGGAGGTG